AAGGACTGAAACCATCTTGTTTTCCAAGATCCTGTGGCATTGAGAGATTTTATGAACAGTTGTGTGTTCTAAAGTCAGAATCTTGGACGATTTCAGCCCCTGGACATTGGGCAAACTGTGTAGATACTTGATAACGTACAGCACAGGACGGAGGTAACAATTCCAACTGTGAAAAGACACTCCATTTTGTAGCAGAACTGGGTATCAGTGGAACTCCAGAGCCCTATTCCGCATTAGCTTTTTATGTTGTCTAACAAGCCTCTTCCTGGCTATAAATTCTTCATCATTGATGCTTATAAATGCTAATGTCCTGATATGCTAGCATTTCTGTGTACTTTATTATCAAATGTCCAAAGAAACATGGATCATTGAGTCATTTCATATAATAAAGAATTGGCAGCTCACTCCCCCTTGCAGTTGTGGTGATGGATCAAGGAGACAGATGCTACCCTTTGCTTGGTGCTGCAGCAGGAAAGGCAAATGCGGAAAATTTAACGAGTAGGAGGACTTTCAATGACTGTGACATTTGTTCATACAACATGGAAAGAAATCAAAATCATTATTTATTTTTCAAATGCTATTCAGTCATTTATTCACTCATAAAAATATTTATTAAGTGCTCCCAAGTACCTGGCATAATTCAAAATGGGGGAGTAAAGTAGTGAAACTAGACAATAGTCCCCACCCTCATGATGTTAATATTTTAGTGGGAAGACCAACCATTAACAAATAAGTTAAAAATATATATATATGTATATGTATAATCTGAAGGTGATAAGATCTATGAGGAAGTAAATAAGCAAAGAGGGCTAGGGCATAATAAGACAATTAATGGAACGTTATGTCAGGCAGCTGGTGATATTGTGAAATCTAATAGAATTGGACAAATTCTGGGAGGCTATTTTGGACTCTGTGGTCAGGGAAGAATTTCCTTCAATGCTAACAGCTGAGGCAAGACCCGAACGAGAAGGAGATAGCTGTGTTCATATTTTGGAGGAGAATCTTCAAAGGCCCTCAATGAGGAGTGAGCCTGAAGTATTAGGTGAACAAAATCCAGCATGCTGGGAACACAGTATGTGGGTGGTTGGACAGTAAGAGATAAAATCCCAGAGACAGACAGGAACAGACCAAACTGGCCTAGGTAAGATTTTCAGTCTTTATCTGGATCTGTATGTATATACAGAGCACCCTGAATGTGGGGGACTACCTCTCAGAACTGGCCCAGAGAGCTATTCTAGCCCTCTGCACCAGCCCTGGTGCTTGCCTGTCCGCCAGTCCATCAGACAGACTACCACGAAAATATAGGTGCTGTGTCGGGCATGATGCTAAGTGATGGGAAGCCAAGAGAGGCACTGCTAGTCCTGCCCTTATAGAGTATATATTTCAGTAGAGAAGCTATAAATGAAGTGGTCACAAGCATCATGAGGTCCAACAGCAAGATATATTGGTAATACTTATAATAAAATAGGGTTAACCCAGTCTATAGCCTAGGTCCAATATATATGCAGCAATAAACAGTATTTCATCTTACATATTTCACTCCAGAAAGTCATTCCAAGACTACCTACTACAAAAATAAAATAGATTAAAAACATCCATTTTTGTGGTGCTCTTTGATTTTCTATGTTCTTTCATATGTATTATCTCATTTAATATTCACAATAACTGTGATGGAGGTCAGTCAATAATCTACCTTTTTTTTGGAGATAAAAAAGATTTCCCCTGCTGGTGTGGCTCAGTAGATTGAATGCCTGCCTATGAACTAAAAGGTCATTGGTTTTGGTTCCCAGTCAGGGCACAAGTTGTGGGCCAGGTCCCCTGTAGGGGGCGTGCAAGAGGCAACCACACATTGATGTTTCTCTCCCTCTCTCACTCCCTTCTCTTCTTTCTAAAAATCTTTTTTAAAAAGCTGAAGCTCTGGAAATTTAAATAAATTGTCTACAGTCATGAAATGAAGTAGTGTAGGCAGTCCGAGCATTTTTCTACACCTTTGGTATCATCAGAAGTTTGGTCTAACTATGGTAAAACTGTTTACCCTATGGCATTAGGTGTTTCATTTAGAGGAAAAAGGTAGAGAGAACATACACAGCATCCTCATTCTTAACAAATATAGGATCTATTTACCAAGATGTTCAGATAAGCACCAGGTAATAATTTGTGCAGGAATTTGGTATGCATTTAAACCTAGGTAATAATCTGAATAATATGGCATTATATTATAACCGTGTCTTGGGAGAAAAATTTAAACTATGTATATATGTAAATAGATCATGGGGTTAGATTGTGATATTTGTTTCCTTTTCTTTTCCCATTATCAAAATCATTGTCAATACGAATCTTATCCACTGTTTCCTCTGAGTTTATTGATTAGTGTAGAAAACTACTGTGTTCTTTGTTTCACAGGGTAATTTTAGCTACTCTCCTTTCCTCCTTTCTCCAAAAGACTTCTGCTCAGGTACTCCAGAAAATCTCACTCAGCATTCTGTTCTGATTATCTCGTTCTCAGCACTAAGCCTGAAGCCAAGATTTCGATTTGAATGACCTCTTCCTAGAATGCTAAATTGTCAACCTTTAGAAAAGCTTCATTCATTTAATCTTCTTCAATTTTTTAGAAAATCAGTAGAGAATTCTATTCCATATGCAATCTTGAATTTGCTGCCTTACTAACCATACATTTTCTGTTGCTCTCATATAGGGCAATTTTCCTATGTTTGCTTCATGGTGATAAATGCCTGGTTCTATTAATACTGATTATTTTACATTATGTTTTATAATGAGGCAGCACTTTGCATACTATGTCATAAAAATACATTTGACATTTTTAAATATCATTGTCTTGTTACAAAATTACATATCTAAACTTTTGTTCCAACTACACCTGCAAATGCCATATTAATTAAAAATTACCAATAGTAATGTTTCTCTCCCTGTTTCTCCCTCCCTTCCCCTCTCTAAAAATAAATAAATAAAATCTTTAAAAATAAAATAAATTAAAAAAAAAATTGCCAATAGTACATGTCAATTACCAAGTTGTTAAGACACAAAAGAATACACAACTTCATGTGTATTTGTGCTTCTGTGTTGTCTCATTCTTCAGTTACATTCAGGTATGTGGCACGTCATGCGCTGAAGACAAATGCTGCTGTCATCTCTTCAACAAAAGTACCACATAATTTCACTCACATGTGGAATCTAATTGAACTAACAAGCTAAATAGAGACAGACTCATACAGAGGGAAGGCTGACCACTCTGGGCCTGGTTAGAGGGCAGAGAGACCAAGCAACAAGAATAAGAAAAGGAAGACCTCATGGGCACACACGGCTGCAGGGAAGGGGTGAGTGGGAGTGGAGGAGGGTGTAGATGGATAAATGGTAATGGAAAAAATAAAGCCAACACACAAATAAATAAATAAATAAATAGTGTTGGGGAAATTGAAGAGATGCATGCACACAATTAAACTAGACCACCAACTTACAATATACACAAGAATAAACTCAAAATGGATTAAAAACTTAAATGTAAGTCTTAAAACTTAAAACCATAAAAATCCTAGAATAAAACAGAGGCAGTAAAATTTCAGACACTTCCCATAGCAATATTTTTGCCAACATATTTCCCTGGGCAAGGGAAAATAAAGGAAAAAATAAACCTGGGACTACATTAAATAAAAAGCTTTTGCACAGCAAAAGAAACCATCGGCAAAACAAAAAGAGAACCCACTGTATAGGAGAACAGATTTGCCAGTGATACATCTGATAATCTGATACGGGGTTAATTTCTGAATTTATGCAACTCAACAGAAAAGAACAAAAAATCCCATTTAAAAATGGGCAAAGGATCTGCATAGACACTTTTCTAAAGAGGACATTTCAAGGGCCAATAGCCATATGAAAAATTGTTCAATATCTCTAGTCATCAGATAAATGTAAATTAAAACCACAATAAGATATTACCTCACATCTGTAGAGTGGCTATTGTCAATAAATCAACAAACAAGTGTTGGTGAGGATGTGGAACAAAAGGAACCCTCATGCACTATTGGTGGGAGTGCAGACTGGTACAGCCACTGTAGAAAGCAGTATGGAGTTTCCTCAAAAAAATTAAAAATGGAACTACCTTCTGACCCAGTGATCCCACTTCTATATATATATAGAAGAAACCTATATATATATATTCTTTTATATATATATAAAGAAACCTGAAACATTAATTCAAAAGAATATATGCACCCCTATGTTCATTGCAGCATAATTTATAAAGGTCAAGATAGATGAATGGATAAAAAGTTGTGGCATATTTACACAATGGAATACCACTTGCCTGTATATAAAAAGGTAATCTTATGTTTTGTGACAGCATGGATAGCTTGGAGATTATTATGCCAAGTGAAATAAGCCTGTCAGAAAGATAAATACCATATGCTCTCACTTATATGTGGACTCTAATGAACAAAATAAAGTGACAAACAATAGGAACAGAGGCATGGATACATGGAACAGACTGACAGCTGTCATCAGGGAAGGGGGAGTGGGGAGACTGGACAGAAGAAGGTGAAGGGATTAGTCAAAGAATGTACATGCATAAGCCTTAGACACGGACAACACTGTGGTGATGGCCAGAAGCAAAGGGGGGAGGGAGGAAGGTGAAGTTGGTCAAAGAGGAGCAAAGGGGGACAGAGAGACTGCTTGTAGCAATGGGTGCATGATGCAGTGTTCAGATGATGTTTTATTGAGTTGTACACTTGAAACCTTATGGTTTTGGGAACCAATGCTGCCCCAATAAATTCAATTAAAAATACTGTTGTCAAAACATCATTCCATGACAAAATGCTAGGTCCTGTGCTAAGTGTTTTTTTTTAATTGTATGTTATGCTTATATGAACTCTGAATAATTAGTTTGCAATATGAGTTTTCTTCTAAAAAGCCAGTGAAGATCAAAGGAACATTTTTTAAATAAAAATTGTTGAGAAACTTCTTTGTAAAGAATGAAAAAGACTTACGGGAACCAGGAATTTTTTAATCTCTTCCAGTGCATGACTCATACGTGAATAAGCTTCCCCAGGTGGAGCAAACACTTCAATTAATACATGAAGTTCATCACTCAAGTGGGCATATTTGGCTTCCCCACTCTTCCTTAGTTCTTCTTCCTATGAAAGAAGTTATTTTTAGAAATACAAATCTACTCATTTTGCATTGGTTTAACATTTACTGAGACTACGACAAAAGGGTATAATTTAAGCAAATTTTCCATAAGTAGAAACCCTTTGAGAAATAAAAATCTGGTACAAGCCATTTAAAGATTTTAAAATCATTTTTGAGTGAATGATAAAAAAACACCCCTGGCATAATTATCATCCACAACAGATTTTAATCAGCTAAATGAAAATGTTAAATCCCTGAAAAGAAGTAACAGAAATACCATTAACTCTTCAGTGTTCACCACTACATGATGGAAGGAAAGGGTTGTTTCTTTGTTCGACAAGCGATATTTTGCAGAGAATGAACCAAAGATTATCACTGTTCTTTAAGAAAACCACAACTTCCTAATAACCTTTGTAGAGATGGTGAAAGGTTATTTGTTCTCCATTAAAGTATGCAAACAAGGTTTATCGCCCTGCCAAAGTTCCCTTTGGCCCAGATTATTATTGAGCTTCACACCCACATCTTGTCTATCATGTGTTGCCTTACGTTGGTCAATAGGAGTTTATTAAAGAGATGGTGGTTAAGTATTAGGTTGGCATTGATTATGCACGACCTACACATCCTCAGCATCACTAACATTGGTTCAGATTTTTCATAGTACTGTACCCAGGTGATTAGTGAAGACTAATTCAGTACAGGTGCAGAGCAAATCAGTGTATGATTTATGTACTTTCTTGACGTGTGCTACCTATTTTACACATACCATCTCTAATATCATAACAACCCTACGTGTTATTCACAGAGTTCAGATTAGGGAACTCGGCTTGAAAGGCTCAGTAATGTCAGCAAAGTTAGGGTTCAAGCCCAGCTCATTCTGCAACCAGATTTGTATTATTTTTAGGAATTCAAGCAAGCAAAATTTGGTTAAACAGTTAACATAAATAATATTAATCATGTTTTACCTTTTTTGATCCCCTCCCAGTTAACTAGCAGTTATTTCACTAAATTTCAAAAGATAAAGATACATTTAGTTTTCTACGGAAATTAAAAAGGATTAGACCTAAGCTGGCTAAACAAAAGCTAATTTGCTATTGATCTACATGAATTAACTGTATGGTCACTGTTAATGTGTTGATCTGACTAGAAATGGTCATCCTGACAGAGATCGGAAGTACCTGCTCCCCAGACATCCCTTGCCTACTCAAACCTCTAAATGGCAGCACCTTTTTAGCCTGGGAATCCACTTTCCACTCCCCTGAGCATGCTCTCTCTCTGGAACTGGGAGTTTTTACTTAAAGGAGTTTTTCTTAGTTCCCAGTGTCAGTTTGGGGATGAGAAGTAGCACTCAAATAAAGAATATGCACCCACCCTGGGGTGTAGGACACATTTCTTTCCTCTTTGGGCTCTTCCAGGGTGCCAGCCCCTGGTATACTCTGGAGTCAGCATCATTTACACAAAGTGCTGGGGAACTTAACCGAGAGGTTTCCTGATCCTGACCCCATTTCAATATTTCCTAAACTGATTTCCAGCTGGTTATACAGAGTTACTTGCTAGCCAAATTTTATAAGGTGTGTGTACTGTGAGGCGTGGCAATCAAATAAGAATCATAATGTGTATTTTGAAAGTTTTTCAAATAAAATGAGCCTCATTAGATATGTCTACATTTGAGATAATAGGCTGATGTTCATAAATATATGCTGCTTGCTATTTGAAAATACATTTGCCTCTTCCTTCTTCCCATAATCCTTTATGTAAACAGATAGAAAACTGAGGTCCTTAGAAATTAAGCAACTTTCTAGAGGTCAAGTGTTAGTTAAGACTCCAGCCAGACAGGACCCAGTGAGGTAGGTGACAGCATGGGAAAAGTCTTCAGGAGAAGGTCAACAGAGCAGAACCTGTCATGAGCCACTGTGGGTTATTTTCAAAACTAGATTTTATATCTTCAAAGATGTTATAGTTGAACTCACTCACTAGGGTGGCTTTTGACAGAACAAAACTTCCCTACCTTTAGTTTCTTCATCTATGAAATTAATATAATATTACTTACCTCACAGGATTTTATGAGTTTTAAGAAAATTGAAGTATGTTTTGTATATTAAAACACTATGCAAGTATATTGTGATAATTAATATTGCCTTACATTCTCAAGTAGTCTTTCAACATAATGTTTGACTGTTGCAACAGAGACCAAAATGAATGTTGGTCCAACAAGTAGGAGAGTTACTTCTCTCTCAAGTAAAAGTCTAATTTGTAAGTAGATTGAGGAGCAGGCGGTTCTTCTTTCCACTTACTTATCCAGGGAATCAGGTTCCTCCTCTTAACTCAAGCCACTCCCTAGGACACTGTTCTCATGTAAGCAGATGAAGGAAGCTATCCATCATCACTTCTGCATTCCACTCCATGGAGAAGAAAAAGAAAACATAGACAGCGAAAAGCTTCTTTTCAAGGACACACGCCAGAAGTTTCATACATCATTGCTGCTCACATCTTTTTGGAAAGACTGCAGTCACATGGTGGCCTGGATGCCACAGGGGCTTGAAGGTGGGCTCAGATGGAGCAGCCAATAGATCAGGGGTGTCAGATCCATTTTCACCGGAGGCCACATCAGCCTCCAAGTTGCCTTCAAAGGGCTGAATGTAGTGTTAGGACTGGGTAAATGTAACTAGTCTTTAACAGTTAAGTGAGAGGTCAGTGCTGCCGCCGGATAAAAACAAGGTGCTGGGCCAGATAAAACAATGTGGAGGGCCGGATTCGGCCTGCGGGCCTTGTGTTTGCACCACCGGTGCAATAGACTGCAATAGACTATCTAAAATGTAAGGGCTTAGGCTGACAGAAAAAAGTGAGAATGGATATTGAGTGACAATCAGCTGTCTTTGCCATTTGAGCCCTTAGTCAGAACTAGTTAAAATGACACTTGATTATTAAATCTAATTGTGGTGAATGACTAACCAGTGTCTGTCAGAATGTTCAAATTTTATTTAAAAAAACCCTATATTCTCCCCAGTTGGGTTTATAATATAAGGCTCCAAGCTGTATTTGAATACAGGCAGACATCACAGGCATCCTGACCAACGAAGTGCACTGACAGTGATTCCGCACAACCCCTTGAGGTATCTCCTAGACAAAAGCTCCAAAAATATTTTTGAAAAGTGTTTCTTTTTGCGACAAATACATTATCTAATAAGTTGATTATGAATGGGCAGCAGTGTTTTCATGTTTCTGCCCAGTTACCTTTGCACATTTCGTAACAAAGATCACAGTACCCTGGGCGGTTACACTGGAAAGAACAAGGAACATAATAGCAACAAGAGGTTAAAAAATAAAAATAATAAATTAAGAAAATTAGAAAGGCTAGAAAAATCTTGGGTATAAATCGAGATGTATAGTTCCAAAGCTCACTTTAGAGAAAATTAGATCTCCATCCAAAAGGCACAAAGAAGGGCCCAGGGCGAACCTCAAAACAATGTAAGATACACACGCTCAGTGGTAAATCTGCTCGGTGGGTTCAAAACTCTGTTTAAAAGAGTGTGTACTCAGTTGATATTATTTAATCTTCCATGAAAAAGGTACATTTATCCCATGAGGTTATTTGCTTTAACCACTGACCTTCTGAAAATGTTGAGCTATTACAAAGGAATCACAAGCTAATTATTTTAAGTAAAATTATTAGTTGCTAAACATAAAAGGTTCTAAACAAAGTCATTAAAAATATCAAATTTAGTTTTACATATCCCTACTCTACCCACATGTTATACCTTTGGGTAAAAACGTAAGTAAAATGTATCAGTTTTTATTACTTATTTTATAGAGAATAACATGGTATTAAATAGAGCCTAATTAAACTGCATTCATGCATTCAATTGTTAAAAAAAATGGTTTCAGAAAATGTTCTCATTGGAATTATCATTTGTATTTTATCTTCTACAAATGAATGTTTCTGACTTGGAAATAATTTTACAATGAGAAATGTTCCTCAATTCAAAATAACATGTTTATTAAAGAAAACCTGAAAAATACCCAAAAGTACAAGTATTTTTTAAATCAATATGCACACAGTTCAAGATACCCTTTTAGCATTTTCAGTACATTTTCTTCAAGTCTCTTTTTATAATAATAATAGTGATGAAATAAGTCATAATTTTGATACTGCTTTTTAGGTCAAAGGTATACAGAGTACTTTCCATCGATTATCTAATTTTATCTGCATAAGTATATTTTCTGTTAGATAACATTATTCCCTTCATTTTACTGAGGAGGAGACCATGGCACAGAGAGAAACTCACCTCGAACTACAGAGAGTGCATCATGGAGTAGGATTACAATCCAGGTGATAATCTCATATCCAAAGGTCAGGTTGTAAGTCACTGTAGCGCAAGTAAACTTTTTATACACTCAGATTTCCCCATGGGTATTTCTAGTTTCTGAGAGACCTTGACCAAGGGTCTCTCAGCAATTTCCTAGTATCCAGACCCGTGTGCTCAGCTCTCTGCTCCCCAGAGCACCCCACAGCAGATCACAGGTCCTTATATAACAAGCACACCCGCCATGATTTTCCTTTCCCACCTCCCACAAGGTTTTGATTTAGTAGCTTTGTGCCATTGTTGAGGTCCAAAACAGATGTTGAAAAGGGACAATCCCGAATGAGCCCCGGATAAAGTTGGGCTGACCAGGAACTAAAGTTAGGCTGACCAGGAACAGGGAAATTTTTACTTCCTAAAAGGGCTAACCGCCAACTAGCCTTTTGAATTTCCCTAATAAGACAATGGCAATCAGCTGTTTAGAGCTAGCCAATAGCTAACAGCCACACCTGCTTCTGTTCAAAGCTTGCTTGCATACCCCTGTATAAGGACATAGCTGTAAGCTCCGGGGCGCAGCTCTCATCTGCAGCTCTCCTGAGCATAGTGTCCTCGGACACTCAGAGAGCTCGCCCCTGCACAGGTAAAACTTGGCCAATAAAGTAGCATCTTGAAAATTCTGAAAGTCTCTGAACCTCTGTTTCTCGTGA